AAGACCTGGCAGCTGAACTCCAGTTGGGGCCTTGCCACCGAGCAGACTCTGTGAACTCAGTGACTTGCGAAGAATTGTAACATACAAAGACGATGCTCGCCACAGTGAGATCTTGGAACATTTTGACCAATGCGGACCACACACATGCACATGTCGACAAGACCTGTACACTCCAATAACACGTTCAGGGAATAGAACAATTCTTTTGACATCTTTTGGCATCTCTGGGCTTTCTCATTTTTGTGTTCACAGGTCGCTCAAGCTTTCGGCACTCCCAGCAGTTACTACCAGTAAGCTCTGAACGGTGAACAATGCTGTGCTCGGTGCTCAATTTCTTTTTGCAGATTGCCAGGCCTAGAGACGAACAGTCATTGAATATCATTGAATAGTCTATTCTTCGTATTCGCGTTTCAAAATCAGTTCCATGATGTTTGATGCAGATGTTCAATTCAACTTTTACCCTCAACCCATGCCAGAGATTGGCAAAGCCAATCTCCTACTTTGGAGATCTTTGGAGTGGAGTCTGGAACTGTCTGTTGTCGGTGTCAATTTCATTGCATAGCATGCATAGCGATCTGCGAGTGCGGTCCCAAACAAAGGTGTGCACGATTGGCGGCTGTGGGTCTTTGCTTTGCATGCTATTTCGATCTATTGTTCAAAGGGCCAGGGATAGTAAGCTGGGTTGCTGATAAAATTGCATCACGGATTATCACCTCATGGTTGTGTAATGTTGTGGGGTCCTTTTTAATTATATATATGAGGAAAGCGTTGCGGTCCGTTCTGTGTCTTTTCTTTGTTTCGATACGAAGATTTTCCCTGCCCCAAGCCAACCCAATATATCATCACCAGTTTTAGTAATGAGTGCGATCATGTTTTTGATTGTTTTTGAGTGTTCAGTGGTTTTCATTCATTTTGACTTCCCAAGGATTGGTTACACAAGGTTTGTTTCCTTAAAACCTGAAAAGATTCTTCTGGACACTGCACTCAAAGAATCTCAAAGATGTGGAATTCCCTTTTTCATGCTTCACCGCATCACTCTTAATCGCTCAAGGATTTCCTCCAGATAATCCAGATACGGCAGATTTACAGGATCCTCACGGTCACACAAACATGATGAGAATATGACGAGACTTGTGTGATTCCAGGACTGCGAATGACTGCGATTCGGACTGATTCCATGTCCATGATATTCTGTGATATTCTGTGATTCCTTCACGAAGGCGCTGCGGCAGAGCCTGCGCATGTCAGTTCAGCCTGAGGTGCGGGCGCTGCAAACATTGGGCGTTCATTGATGTTCATTGCATTCAGCTATATTCAGCTCAACAATCTTCGTAAATACATCAAGTAACCTCACTTTCGGATACGATTTCAGTTGATGATGTTGATTGCCTTGGCTGTCACAGTTAGACATGTTTGATCATGTTTGTTTGTAATGTACATGTAACATCATGTAACTACGTACAACTATATATACTTAAATTATAATATATTAAAATTATATATATATAGGTCAGATACACAAACACCTCTTGGAGTTTGACCACGACACCCTGGACTCGGACAACAAAATACTGTAGCACTCTGCGCAGGATTTGCGTGTCCAACTTGCTGGCAGCTTAGTTCGGCGAAGCTGAATTGTACCCACCGCTGTTGGTTTCGGACCAGAGTCTACTTACGGCACAACTTTGTAGATTTTGTAGTCGCTCGCATCTTTAAAAAGAGTATAAAAGGGTCATAAACTCCGGTACCAGTTCTTGTGCTTGCAGTGCGCACTCTACTCGGACAGGACAAAAGACAGCTTTGATGGTGTTAAGACATCGTTTGTGTTCTTCCATTTCTCTGGTCTCAAGTCTCAATTCTTTTGTCTCCAGGTGTTTGGGTGCTGTAGTCTTCTTTGTACTTGAATCTTCTCGACCACTTGGCATAACTTGGCATTATGTCTGTGCAGACTATGCAAATACAGAAAAGAAACTCACGCCACACAAGGCCGCTTCGTGCCCCTGGACGTCCATGATGTACGTAGCACATCAGAACACGCGTCACGTGTCACTCACAAGGTACAATTCAAGGCAACCCAAGGATTTGTGGGCAAAGCACACTGCTTGCTACACCTAGCATAACAATGCGTTGCATATATATTCTATATTGATCTATAATGTTGTAATATATACATATATACATATATAATATACATATAATATATATATATTATTATATGATATATATATATATTATTATATATATATATATATTATTATATATATATTATTTATATATATATAATTATTTATTATTATTTATTATTACTATTATTATTATATATATATTATGTTTTGTGTATATATATTCAAATTGTACGGAATCATATTCTGTATATTGCCAACAGCCTTGCTGCTCACTTTTGCTGAGGCTACACTCAGGTCCCCAGGGTCTTTGCCCGTGTGTTACTGGCACATTTTGCACGATTTTGCTGGGGTTGGGGTAGTGTGTGGTGGGGTGAGCTGGGGTGGGGTGGGGGATGTAATCATGTTTGCTTGCATTTGCGCAGCCACGTGATGCTACGTTAAAGATGGTGTTGGGTCGGTTGAGATGGAGGGTGCAAAAACATTCGCTTGCATGCGCACGCGTACGTGATGCTACGTTAGATGTGGGGATGGTGCCAAAGCTGAAATGAAAGCCTGACACTGGTGGAGTCCTTGCAAGAGTCAGGAAGCTGCTGTGAAAGAAGCCATGGAAAACACACTTGGATGTTCATTTTGAAATATTTGGGGGCCCCAGCCAAAAGCACCGTTTTTGCGTTTAAAACAGGGTAGAATTACGAGATGATTGGTTTTTACCCCTGGAACAGCAACGGACAATGATTTCACGCCTCAACTTTCAACGCACAGAAATCAAAGTGGAACTCGTGTTTTGACCAACATCTATGGCTCAGGTTGGACCAAATGGTCACCATGAATGGTCACCAAATGAAATAACAAGACCGTGCACCTAGTTGTACTAGTGCTACTACATACTGAATGATATATACTGAATTATACTGAGTGTGCCCCACTACTTGCACCACAGATACAGTAGGGAGCGAGGCAGATTCGTCTTTTGGGAGAAGACAAACATTTTGATCAGAAAAGGGTGTTTTTTTTTTCTGAAGAAAACAAACGTTTGGAAACAAGCGAAGCTGTGTGTGTTGGCTGAGTGCAACAAACGTTTCCTTTCCATGCAAGTTTCAGCACAGCGGCATTGTTTCAGACTGAAAACAATCGCGTTCCTGCCAAAACCAACCTTTTTGGCTTTCAAAGTACGTTTCCAGCCCGGAAACAAAAATTTCTAGCAACGTGTGTTTTAAGTTTTAAAGAAACTCGAAACAAACTCAGAAGCGGGCAGCTTGGAAACCTCCAAAGCAAACCTTTTTAAAGGTACAGCCACAAGACAAAGTCGTGCCTTTTTTAAAGAAATGATTGCATTTATATAGTTGCGGCGAAGCTTTCCCTGGAAGTCGTGCCTTTTTGCAAAACACAGGGGAACTCACGTGATCTCATCTTGACCATGTTTTTGACTGTTTTTGTTTCTTCTTGCGCTCAGGTTGGGTTTAGGTATCTACTACTAGTATTATCTACTCATGTTTAGGGTATATGTAGTTTTTGTTGCGTTCAGCTGGGGGGAAACTGAGTTTACTGCAGCTGCTTTCTTCTCAGTGACTTCTGTATGTTCAACTGTATTTAGCAACTACTGTTAAACTGCTGCTCAATTGCTGGCTGTTGCCCAGTTGCTGCCGCTGGCTACTGCCAAACTGCTGCTGGATTGCTTCTGAACTACTACCGCTAGGCTTACGTCGTATCAAGTGAGCTGAAGTCGTATCACACGTGTGTGCGCGCAGTGTTTCGTTTAGATTTTGACTGGCTGTTGATTTGAATACTGTTTCATCATCGCTGTGGGCAGTGTATTGTTGACATGATTCTACTTAACCCTGTATGGTACTGATTGCAATCTTTATGGTGATGCAGTGATGCCACTGTCAATAGTTAGCGCGTGTTAGTGCTGTAGTTTTTTCGTGTTTGCCAAAAAAAGTTTGTTGAAATCCCCTGCAAACTGCAAAGGTTTCAGCATGAAAAAGTACAAATGTAAAACCTTCTTTTCCAAAGATTGAAACTCTAATTTCGACCCCTCGTTTCCAACCCATCTCCAAACCTTTGTTACTGGGAAACAACCCTTTCCAGGGTAAAACGTTTGGTTTGTAGACTTGAAACTAAAGTTTCCCCGTTTGCGAAAAGTGATTGTTTTCTGAATTGCAAAACAACCGTTTTTCTGGGGAGATGGTTTGTTTCTCTCCCACAAGCGTTCCAGGGTTGGCTGCCCTCAAATTCGAAACAGACGCTTTTGGATGACAAACATGTGCTGTAAACTTGGATTTGAACCATGGTAATGGCTCCATGCTCCACGGATGGAGTACAGACTTCACATGCGTTGGGTGCTGCACAGCAGCACTTCATTCTGGCCTTTTACATTGCGCTGCTGGACCATAGCTAGAACTTGCCTGCTCCTCGTTTACACGCATCATTCAAATTGTGAACCATGCCTTACTTACTTGTAATATGTGATTGAAGATATTAAATCGCTAAAATTTCAAAGGATTGACTTGGGCGTATTTGGGCGTTGCAGGGGCCTTGCCTTTGGTTGCATGATGCTATTATGCTCTATTATGTTTGTATATGTTTGTATGGTTGTTTCGATTGGGCAGAACCTGTGGGATGCTCAGGCAATGGCAGCCTATGGTCCTCCAGTTCGTCCACCCATTCGTTTTCAGCTGGCCACGCCGCAGATCACAAACTGCCCGTTTGCCTGTCATATTTCCAGAGCACTTTAAGAATGTTTAAGACACGTTAAACATCAGCGCTTTCCAGATTTTTCCAGTGTCAACCTTTTTGGATCTTTTTGTGCAGACTGACAGTGCACCTCGCATTTTGGCTAAGCATGGCTAAGCTCCTCCTTTGCCAGGCAAGTGGTTACGACCTTTCCTTGGGATGGCGAAGTCAAAGTGAAGTCGGGCACTGGGAGCTGCCGTAATGATTCAAGTCCAGTATGTATCCTTGGAATTCCTTGGATGTAAGGTATCAATGGTTGAAGATTTGTAACCTTAACCTCGCATCAAAGTGGTGTGGGAGCTGCTGCTTATGCACACTACATCAGGAACCCAGACTCTTTCGATCGACAAATACTCGCAGCAGCTATATGCTGTAGAATGCTGCAGCACCGACAACATGGATCAACAAGCCACACTACTACGTATGGCAGTGACACAGAGGGACTACAGAACGTGGTAGTTGCTGCACAGACTGTTGCATTCGCTCTGGTGGAGAGTAAAGCGCAACAGTAACACCTGCAAAATTTTGGGTACAAGAGGTAGGAAGCTAGACAAGTGACCACCTTGAGATTGCTAATTGTTGACAGGCCTGACTTGGAGTACGTTGTATTACACTTGGACCGCTGTGTGATAGCCTTGGCAAGGAAAATGTCATTTTGACTCAGCATTATTTTCAGACAGCTTTTAACTTTGCTTGCTTTGTGTTGTGCGGGCTGTGGAACGGAACAGAATCATAGTTTTTTCCAGTTTTTGCCATGCCCTACCGACTTTTCTAACGGTTGGGGCAAAGGTGACCAGATTTCCCGGTGATGACCCCACAATCCGCAGTGCTTTTACAAAGAATGAAGCCACCAGTTTCGCACAATCTGACGGAATCTGACGCAACATGTTTATTCTCAGCCGAGGTTCGGCTGCACATGCAGGACTCAGCCACTTTTTATGGAAGAGGTACCTAATTTATTTGAATAATTTTGAATACACATCCTAAATTCATCCTAATATGTTGAGTTTGTAGCGTTGAAGGATGTTGATACGCTGATTCATTTGAAGTCTCTGGAGAAGCTTGATGCACGCTGCCCGTTTGATTGTATTGATTCTGTTGATTTCTGTTGATTGTTTCCTGATATTTCCTATCTTTCCGACTTGCCTCCAGTATCCTCCAATAGATTTGGCTGCAGGTTCTGCTGCCCACCAGAATGTCTCACGCAGGCTAAGCAAAGCGGGCATTGGACTTAGTCCTGACTTGGTCAAACGTCAAAAGCAGTGGCTGCCAAGTGTACCATGTGGATCCATGTGGATCCATGTGGATCATGTGGCGATGTGTTGCGGTGTTTGATGAGTTTTTTTTGGGCCAACGGACTATGTGGATCATTATTTCTTCCGAGGATTTCGCCAACCTGCTTTGAGTGACGAAAGTTGCACCAAAGAGTTGATCCCGGCCTCGCTTCCTGTCTCGGAGGCCCCTCTTTTCGCTGCCCGTGGTTTCGGAAAACTCCTGTATCTTCTACTATGTAATGTTCTTTAATCATCATTAATCAGCAATGTCCACTGATGACATGCATGATTGCTGGCATAAATTGTCAGGTTGTTCTTGCCCACTTCTATCAGAAATTTGCTACTAGACGAGAATGAGTCACGCGGAGTTGTGAGTTCCACAGTTTTCTGCATGTGCTTGCCTCTTTCCAACTTGGTGTTCGGTCCAAATGAGTGGCAGGCCAAGATGCCAGGAAGTCACTGGATTGCACTATACGCTATCGATATCTTTAACTCTTTAACTTTTGTATACAGTAGATCGTACTCAGAAAATAAACTTTAGTCAGTGAAGAAGGATCTTGCATCCTCAGCTTTAAAACCGTCAATTTTCGAGATGATCCAAAAGAATATTTCCCATCTTGCAGCTGTAGGAATCGCTCTTGCAAATCTCATGGTTTCCGTTGTTTCAAGTTTTCTAGGATAGAATTGTTTTTAATGATTTTAATGATACTTTATGATTTTTTATGTCCCCCAGTGCCTGGTGCCGCTTTTTTTGTTTGCCTTTTGCTTGCGGGCGCACAGACACTCCAGACACTAAGGTATTCTCTCTGTGTCTCTACTTCTCTAGAGATTGTAAATAGGTGCAAGTAGGTGTCTAGAAATGTCAGGGTCTGTATTGATCTCGGCGCCAATACTACACAGTGCCACACTTTCTTGGCAAGGCTGGAGTTCACGGGAAAGTGGAGTCACGAGGGAAATCCTCTAGATGAGGGCAGACTTCCCAATAAATAATCCTTGCGATTGCTTCGTAGAGTCCTCTTCCCGATCTGACGCCTTGATGATAGACACACACACAGAACCCTTCGACGCGGTGGGCATACAAATTATCGCGATGATGTGCTGTTCAACCACGTTTCCAGATCTTGTTTATGCAGTTTGCGGCCTTTTTAGCTACTTGTTCAAACCAAGATGTTGTAGATGGAGTCTTTTACTGCTTCAGAAAACTTTGTGTCAGCGCCGTGTAAGTAGGATGCTGCCGTAAACCGTGTGCCTCTGCAAGTGTCTAAAACACCTTTTTTTTGTGCATTTGTGCGTCAAGGGGATTCCTTGCTATGGAGTTTCAGATTGAGTGCTGTCAAAAACTCCGTGCTTCAACACCTTTTGTTTAAACTTATTCTTGCAATCCTAATTGGCCCTACGCAGTGAACGATAAGAGACGATAAGAGAAACTGTCTATGTATAATTATGTAGAGATGTACCAAAACAGTTGACCCTTTGGATAGAACAATAACAAAAACCCTTCCACCGAAGAGATGCTGTCGATTGCCTCTGTGCAAGAAACGAGGGGCGGAAACCTTCCACTCAGATAATCAGTATCAGTATCCCCCCATGCAGCCACTCATCGGCAGATGCTGAATATCTCTATGGCATTCCCAGATGTTTCGAACCTATTTCTGAGACCTGAGATGTTTTTTTTCAAATCCCACATTGAACACGACCGATAAACGTATTCAAAACGAGAAGCTTTTGCAAAAGCCGTCCCGCACAAGAATGTATGATCCACGAATTAGTGTAAAGATGTTGCTCAGGTGTTTGGCATCCACCATTTAAATGGTGAACTTTTGTGCCCAATGCTTTCAGCATTGTACACTCGATATCCCAGCCATCCCAGCGAATCAGAGTTTGTGCTTGGAGATATGTTGGCATTATAATATGGTTTCTAGATGGTATGAGACAGCTGCAAGCGCCGTGTTTGTTCCATCGTCCTCCATCCTTCGTTTCCTTCCACTTCTATCTTTTTCTCCTCGACCTCAATGACAGTGATGGTTTGATGATGTTTGATGCAGGTTGTTTCTCTCTCAACTCCTCTATTCCTTCACGTCCCTAAAATGTCTAGCCCCTTAGAGCGCTTTACATCTGCAGACCCATACTGATCATACTGAACCTGAGATTATTTTGGGTGTAAAAGGGTAGAGGCAGGGTGAAGTCAGTGAAGTAGGTTGAATTGAGACGAATGTCATGAAGATCTTCAAATGCTAAGGATCTTTGATCTTCAAGCCTGACTCTCCGCTAACTGCGGGCTGTTGCTATAGATTCCACCTCGACATGGAGGCATCTCCTTCGCTGTGATGACAAGACATAGCTTGCGTTTGTTGCGTTTGTGATTCACACTTGGTAAATCTTGGCTTTCTCTGCTTGTTCTGGTAGGCAGCAGGATCCTGCAACACGCAGACGGCCCTTTGCAAGGTTGCAAAGTGAGAAGTTGAGGGGTGGAGTGGCAGATGAGATATTGTGACAATGTAACATCCACCGCACGACCAAAGAAGAACGACGCATTGCAAAGCGGCACATTTGCCAAGCCTAGCATGGAAGTCGGGTGGTTCAGTGCAGGGAAGCCTCAGAAATACCCTGATATGTCATGATAATTCATGAATATTCATGATATGTCTAGCCATGTCCTGGTAAATACAGTAATTCTATGATCTTGTCGTAGAAATCCTCCAGCCCAAGGCCCTTGGGCCGAGATCGCATTCTCCTCCAGCTTTCAGTAATCCTCTAGAGCCTGTGTGGCAGGACTTGAAGATTGACTTTTGCGTCGAATGGCCACCCCCAGAACCAGTCGTGAGATTAGAAGACGACCACCTGTTGCAGGCTCGCCGCCTCTGCTTTGACATCTTGTGCCGTGCAGTGTCATGTCGTGTTTTCATTGTAAGCATTGTGAAGTGCTGGCACCGACTTAGATTTTCTATGAGTTCTGTCGTGTCAAGGTAAGCTTCAGCGTCCCAGTTGAGCTGAATGCCAGCAATGATCGCGTTCAGATTGAAGCTGGTCCTGAGGAAGGCTTGAAGTCCTGTTGCTTTCAACAGATAGCATGAATATATGTGAACAAGCCATTTTGGCTCAAGGCACAAGGTCCCCCATAGGCAGAGGAAATTTCCAGTTGATGGAGGTAGGGCCGCTGCAAGATGGTGCAGCTCCAGGACCTGAGGACAGCGGTGCCGTTTTGGGCGTCCTCAGGTCGGTAGGCCTGGTTGGGCCTAAGCTTGCCCTCCAAATTGGAGAAGAAGAAGACCTAGCGAAGCAAGTGGCAGAGCGTGCTGGTCTGGCCTATGGGGGGTGGATAAAGGATTTGATATCCAGCCATGTGAAGGAGGCGTGTGCGTCCATAGAGCTGGATGCACGGCTGGAGGGCGCAGCAATGACGCCCGGTGCACAGGCAGTGAAGGACGCCGTGGCACACATGGAGATGGAGCAGAAAGAAACCGCTGCAGGGCAGAGTGAGGTGCCGGCGGTTACAATAGTCCTGCCAAGGAGGGGCCAGATGGAGAAATGGCGCAAGGGTGGGATGATCCCACAGGTGAGCCTGGAAGAAGAAGAAGAAGGACGTGTCCTCAAGGCTCTCTATGAGGAGCTCAAGGTGATGGATGCACCGGTCTTGGCGCAGATAGGACAGGTGGCAAGGCCTGAGCGTGTGAAACAGGCCCTCTTGGGCAAGTACAGGGCTTCTTCAGTGAAGCGCTATCTTGCCTATTGGCAGGGATTTAGAAGGTGGTGCAATACTACCTCAGGCAGCAACCCTCTTCAACCTGCACAGCTGGTTGACTACTTGCTGGCACGAGAGGAGGAAGGCATGGGGGCGTCAATTCCTCTTGCCGTCAGCAAGGCAGTGTCCTGGTTCGAGAAGACAGCCGGGATCCCTGAAGATGAGGGGTACAGCAATGATGCATTGGTTGCAACGGTGGTGAGGGATCTCATGAAGAAGTTGGAGGAAGGTGCCCCGCCAAGGAAGAGGGCGCCGAGGATGCTGAGTTGCTTCATCCCGGCATTGGAGCGGCTGGTGGCCGATCAGAGCCGGGAAGATAGGCTCCGCCTTGGGGCCTGGGTGAAGCTGGTTAAGATCTGGGCGTCGCTCAGGTTTGATGACCTGGCCCATATCCGAGTGGACATGGCAAGGGTGTACGAGGGCCGCATGGCGGGTCTCTTGAAGAGAACGAAAACTACAGGTGCAGGGAAGAGGGTGAAGGAATTGCCCTTCCATGTGGCGACTTGCGCATGGATCGAACAGAGCGATTGGCTTACAATGGGGATGGAGATCCTTGGAAAATCGCCCACTGGTTCCGGTGACCTGTTGGTCCCATCTGGAGCTGGCGAGTTGGGGGCGACAGGCAACAAGGTGATGCAGTATCAGGAGGCGGTAGCATGGAGCACAGAGGTCATGTCGGCCTTGGAGGATGGGCGTGGCGGACGCTTGGTCCCGGATGGATGGGAGAGGTTCTGGACAGAACATAGTGAGAGGGCGACTTTGGCAAGCGGATTGGCCGCTTTAGGGGTGCCAAAACCCGAGAGGGACATGTTAGGCAGATGGGCCCCTGAAGGGTCAGATCAGTACGTGAGATCGTACAATGCTGTCATAGCGAGGCTCCAGAACAAGTTCGCGCAACCTGTCCGGGTTGGTGATGGTTACAACGCCTTCGATGAGGGTGCAGTCATGGAAGAGTTGAAGGAATGGCTCAGGGACAAGTGGGGCGTAGGCAAGGAGACGGCCCACGAGGCGGTGGAGGGTTGGAAGTCAAAGGTCAAACCCTTTGCACCGTTCCAGGAGCTCTTGGAGAAGGGCTCAAAGGAAAAGCCAGTGGAACAGAGCAAGGCAGCAGAGTCGTCGTCCAGTTCATCGGACACCAGCAGCAGTGAAGAAGAAGTTGATGGAGTTGCAAAGAAGCGGAAGGTGGAGAAGTTAGATGAAGAAAGAGCAGAAGGCTTCATCGTTGTCTTCAACCGCATCGACAGGGGCAAGCTCCATAGGTCGGGAAAAGTGGGATGCTGGATGGCAAAGGCTCGGAAGTTCAATAGGGCAATGAGCTATGATTCATTGCCGGGGCCGTCAGAGTACACCTCACGATGCAAACTCTGCTGGCCAGCAGTGGACGATGATGGGACGTCGAGTGACTCCGAAGATGAGTTGGAAGACCCTGCGAGTAGTGGGCCCACAAAGGGTGAGAGTTCTGAGCAGGGTTTGTACAGTTTTCTCAATAAAGACAGCCTCTGGGGCGAATAACGGACCGGAGCAAGGAGAAAACCAGCTGCGCAGCAGCGGCAGTGACTCTGTTGTGAGTGTGTGATTTGTCAGAAGTGCATGATCACACAGGGTGTCACAGCGGGAGAGGGAAGTCCCTGGACGCTCCGGGGCCGGGAATCGAGAAGGGGGCCGCGCCCTCTGAGGGACCCAGGTCGCACCTGGGGAGGTCTGGAGAGGGTTCTTTGCAGGCCGCGCCTGTAGGGAAAAGGGAGAGATGCGGTGGGGTCCGAGGCTGTTAGGGCCCAAGTGCTGAGCCAGCATGCCGCCGCTAGTTCTCACTCCAGAGGAGCGGGAGGCCGCCCTTAGAAAGGGAGGCTCGGATCTTCAGTACCTGCTGGAGAGGAACGATGTCGGAAAAGACATCATGGCAAAGTGGTTCCATGTTGGAGTGGTGAACCTTGAGAAGTTTGCTAATATAGCAAAGGATGTGGCTGACTTGACTGAGGTCTTGAAGGAGCACATGGGATTGGATGCCGCGGAGTCGCTTGAAGCGAGGGTAGAGGTGGCAGCCATTACCTGCGCATGGTCCATTGCAAGGACGAGGGTGCAGAGATCCGCGGAGATGGAGGCGGAGCTGGACACGAAGGAGTGGAAGAAGCCTATTGTGAGCTCCGAGTGGCTGGCAATGAAGTCAGGGTTGGAGAAGGCGCTGGGGTTAGTGGATGAGAAAGCACTCCCAGCAAAGGAGTACGTGGAGAAGAAGCTCCAGGAGGTGGAGGCAGGTGACTATAGGGCGGAGGACCTGACTGAGGTGGTGAGCAGGGACGAGGCAGACCCTGACACCCTTGTCCCTCAGTTTGACTCCAAAGGGAACTTGTCAGTCCGCAGGGGCACGACAAGGTCGAAGGAACCGGAAAATCCGGAGTCGCTGAGGGCTAAGCTCACTGTGATGCGCAATGCTTACATGATGATTGCGCTGAAGCATACCAACCGCATGGAGCTTCAGGGAGACTATGGAAGAGTCTTTGAGGAGTACAAGGACTACTTGTTGGGGGAGCATGTCTATGGACTGAATGCGAGGGATGCAGAAGGGTATACAATTGCTGCACCGCCCTTCAAGTTGGTCTTGGCCTATGAGAAGGCGATTCGAAAGGATGCCGCGAGGAGGATGAATCAAGAAGGTGTTGCCTACCCAGTAGCATTGAAGCAGGCATGGAGGGATGCTACAACAAAGGAGCGGCATTTTACTACACCTCTTGCTTTGAGTGCAAAGCGGCCTGCTCCGGCGCATGCGGGAGGAGGAGAGCCGCCGCAGAAGAAACAGAAAGGAGAACAGAAGGGAGGCAAGTCCAAGAGCAAGGGCAAGGGCAAGCAGATGGCTGGATGTGCCTCCCACACCGCGGACGGGAAGCCTATCTGCTACCGGTTCAACACACCGGGCGAGAAGTGCAAAGAGAAGAAGTGCAAGTTCGCACACGTGTGCGGGATCTGCTTCTCCTCAGCCCACACTATGTACCAATGTGGGAGCAACAAGAGGCAGCCGCCGGATACGGCGGGGACAGGCTGAGAGAGGTTGCGGGTCCTTTACATCTTCTCAGGAGAGAAGAGAAAGAATTCAGTTGCATGGCATCTGAAGAGGCTGGGCAAGAAGCACCAGCTCATGGTTGAAGTAGTTGAGTTGGACCTACGGCATAGTCGAAGGTGTGACTTGACGCGGCCACAGGTGCAGCAGCGCTGGTTGCAAGCCATTGACCAGGGCAGTGCTGACTCTTTGGTGATCACACCCCCGTGCTCCACGTTCAGCAGGGCAACTTGGGCTAATGATAGGGGTCCCTTCCCCTTGAGATCCGCAAGGTGCCTGCGTGGTTTCACTTGGAACTCAGCCGTCCGAAAGCGGAAGGCAGACCTGGGGAATACTTTGGCTGACTTCTCCTTCGAAGCAATGAAGAGGCAGTTGAAGAGGAGGCGAACTACCGCCTTCATGGAACAGCCCGAGGATCTGGGGGCCACGCACAGGCCCAGAGTACCGGGGCACAGGCCTGGTTCAATGTGGCAGTTCCCCCAGCACTATGAGCTGATGGAAATGGAGGATGTCAAATCAGTCGCCCTGGCGCAGATAGATTTTGGAGCAGAAAGCCCCAAACCTACAAGGCTGTTGATGCGGACCTACAGCCAGTTGCACCCGGAGATGTATGAAGGGCCACCCCAGCTAGATGAGGATGGTTTCTACGTAGGTCCCCTACCGCGCAAACAGGGACCTCAACTGATTGGCCGCCAGGGGGCTGCCTTTAGAACTTCGGCAGCGGCACAATGGCCGGCAGCACTATGCCAATGGGTGGCCGAAGCAATTGTGGACTCATTCCTCAAGAATAGAGTGTCCCATAGGGAGGAGCCACAATTGCAACCGCAATTGCCAGAGCCACAGGTGACCAAAGCGACCTTGGCTGGAGGAGATATGGCGGAGGAACCTGACCCCTTCTTTCCTGTTTTCTCAGGAGGCGTGGGCCCGGCGAGAGGATGTGAGTGGAAGGGCGAGGTTGTGCCTTTTCATGACGGAGGATGCTTGATGTCGCCGGGGAGGTGGGACATTCCCAAGAGAAAATATCCAGATAGCGCCGAGTGGAGGGAGTTCAGGAAGCGCCTCAGGAAGGCGGTCGTAGATGAAGCTGGAGGAGAGGTTAACTTGGAAAGAGAATGTTTTGCAATGGCGAGAGGAGAGAGAGGCTGCAGGTTAGTGCAGAGCAAGGCCTTGGTGGAGAGGATAAGGAGTGAGGTTCAGGAATTTTGCAGTGGTGAGTGCTCCCTGCTAGAAGTGGCAGAGGGCCAGCCCTTCAGGTTGAGAGCCATGAGGGCAGTCCTGGAGAAGGCGGAGGATGCAGACTATGGTTTTCTGGAGGAGGCAGAGACGGGCTTGCCGCTGGGAGTTAAGCATCCATTGCCGCGGACACCTTGTGCATTTGAGAGGCAGGTGGTGTGGTCTTTGAAGGAGGACCCCACAGCGGTTTGCGAGTTGGCCAGGGCCAATTATCCCTCTGCCAGGGAGCATGAGGATCACCTCAGGTCGCACCTGGAGGCTGAAGTGGAAGAAGGATTGGTTGCAAAGATGTCGGTCAGCGAGTTTGAGAGGAAGTTTGGTGAGGACAGAGCCATAGCAGCGTTGGCAGTGCTGGTGGAGGATGAGACCACAGGGAAACGGAGGGTGATACATGATGGCTCGCATGGGGTGCGGGTGAATCACCGCATCAGGTGCTTGGACAAGCTGAGGATGCCCTGTGGTCGTGAGAAGCGCTATTTGTTGGGTGTCTTCAAGAAGGCACGGGACGTGGTGTTTTCGCTGATTGGCGACTTCGGCAAGGCCCACAGGAGGTTCAAGTACCGCAAGGATGAGCATGGCTTTCTTGCTTGCAAGGTCGTTGAGGAGGAGGATGTGGTTTATGTCAACCAAGTTGGGACGTTTGGGATCTCCAGCACGCCGTACTGGTGGGGCAGGATATCAGCGTCACTGTTGAGGATCACCCACTATCTGGTGGGGCCCGGCGTGCCACTGGAGTTGCTGCTATATGCGGATGACTTGGAGGCGATGGGAGTGGGGCGCGAAGGAAGGAAGGGAGCTGCCCTGGCCTTCATATACATGAGTGCCTTTGGGTCGCCCTTCAAGTGGGGAAAACAAAGAGGAGGTATCTGCACAGAATGGGTTGGGCTCACCACGAACTATGGGGACTACTCCTTTGGCCTGTCGGAGAAGCGGGCGGCCTGGCTAGTGGAGTGGATAGGGCAGATATGCAGCGAAAAGAAGGTGGAGCCCAGAAATTTTTCTGCAGGGCTTGGCCGGCTTGGCTTCGCGGCGACAGCGCTGCCGTGGGAGAAGCCCTTCCTGGGGCCCCTGTATGTGTGGGCTTCGGCAGTGCGGGACCAGAAGGGAAAGGTCCTGGTTCCATGGGCAATCCTTGTCATCTTGGATTGGATTGCAGAGAGGCTCCGCACCGGAGGCAGGATGGAGGTGGTGAAACCGAGGTCCCTGGAGCAGGAGCAGCCGCTGTTTATCTACACAGATGCGCGTGCATCGGATCACGATGCCTGTATTGGGGGATACCTGGCAGTGAGTGAGGACCTATCCCAATGCCCTTGGTTTAGCATCGAGGTGGACACCAAGCTTGCCCCATGGTTGATGGTGAGAGAGAACAACCCGAAACGGGTCATAGCAGCATTGGAGCTGTTGGCAACGTTGGTAGCTGTCAAGCTATGGGCTGGAAGGACCAATGGAGGGCTCAAATTGAGGACGAAAGCTTTTACAGATAACAAGGGAAACGCCTTTGCGATTGCAAAAGGTATGTCGACTAAGTTCCCCCTCACGATCTTATTGATGGAACTGTCGGAGGAGATGAGAACTAGAGACCTTGAGATGGATCTGGAGTGGATTCGAAGAGATGAGAATACCATTGCCGATGATTTGAGCAATGGAAGGTGCGAAGCATTCAGTCCAGAGAAACGTGAAACTTTCAGAGGAGAGAGTGAGGACTGGAAGGTCTTAGAGAAGTTGCAGAAGAGAAGTGAGGAGCTGTATAGAAGCTTAAAGTCCTTGAAGCTTCAAGGCAGGCAGAAAGCGACGGAAGGTAGCCCAAAGCAGGCCCGGAAGGTGAGGAAGAAGGTCCTCACAAAATGGTGAGTGACTGCAGGAGGGATGATAACCCTGGTTGAAACAAGATGTTCTCAACTGGGTACTGCACTCACAGGGAGCCCGTCGTCTTTCTGGAAAAAGATAATGTGCGAAACAACCGGATTGCGAACGCGCTCATGATTCATCATGTCAGTGTTTGCATTTCCCCCGTTGTTTTGAGGCACAAGGTCCCCCATAGGCAGAGGAAATTTCCAGTTCCCTGCCCCCCCCCCCTGTAAATTTCCCCTGGGAGCCCCAGGGGCAGTCTAAATAACATCCATTATTGCTCTCAGACGCTCTGAGAGACGGAAGGGATGATAACCCTGGTTGAAACAAGATGTTCTCAACTGGGTACTGCACTCACAGGGAGCCCGTCGTCTTTCTGGAAAAAGATAATGTGCGAAACAACCGGATTGCGAACATATCATATTAAAATATTAATTCATATGATACTGTTACAGACTGTTACAAATAGGTGGAACGCAAGAGCTGTATTCACGAATTCACGACGAAATGTGCAGTTCTTGGCAATGCAGGCCTTGTACATCTGTGATATTCTGTGATCATGTGAGCATATGTTTATATATGTTGATCCAAAGTTTGTTTGTCCTGGGTCCTGCACCGAGATGCACCGAGTCAAAACAAAACTGGTGTCTCAAACGGCGAAGGCGATGCGGAAAGTGTGAAAGCCTGGCACCTTCTCGAGCGCAGCCACAACACCTTTTGGCAGCTTCAGTACGGAAACATGAGTCACAGCGAAGCGCCCTGACCAATGAAAAGTAGTGAAACACTCGGAAACAGCCAGTAGAAACATGTAGAAACACTAGAAGTTCCTACGGTCCTACTGTAGAAGCTACTAGAAGCAGAGGTCAAGCTTACTTGTCCGCGCACTGTTCTCCACTGTTAATGCAAGACATTTTCACCTTCGCTTTGTATGCAGAATCATGATCAATTGACTCCAACTTTAAACCAAGCTGAGGTGCAGGACAGCGGTGATGGAACTGGACTTTCTATGGGTGACAAGGCAATGTTCTCTCGCACTGACTCCATTGCTGCAGCTGCAAGTTCTTTCAAGATGTCTCTTTCTGCCTTGCTGGAAGGTTTACTGCGCCTATTCAAAGTATGGGAAGGACTTGCTGCGGACAAGAGGATCAGTTTGTGTAGCCTAGAACAGAGTATCTGAGTATCGGAAGTCATTAATTGTAAAGTTCTAATCATATTGCAGGTGAAACATATACATATATATATATAAGGGTCAATTGTCCTTGGGGGTGGTTCTTGGCAGCAGACAGATGGGGAGGGAGAGAGGTAGAAGGCTGCTTGTCCGGTTCGGAACACAGGAGTCTGGAGGGCAACCTTGCGATGATCATAGAAGCTTCCAAGTGGACATGTGTTCTGTCGTCGGGAATTGTCCCGACCATCGTGAGTTGCCTTGTGGAATGTAGCTCAGTTGCATTTTTTTGTCGTGTCAGGACTATCAGGACTTGCAACTGAAAGCAGATGCATTTGAAATATTTTGAAATCACATGTTCGGAAAGTCTTCTGCACCCATGCGCGCCTTTCTGCACCAAGGATTCTTAAAATTTTCTTCCCACCTGGGCTGGCGAGCAATGGTGGTGTTCAAAGCCTTGGAACCTCGATAATTCTTCGTACAAGACCATGCGATCCCCCACACCTGTTGAACTCGTTGAGGCAGGAGCACAACGGCTGTTTACTAAGAGCAGTTTACAGGAGCCATAATTTACTAAGAGCAGATATAAGCAGATTGCTAAACAAGTTTACACTTGATTGTCAATTGATCACGGAAAAATTTGTAGCTTTTGCGGCCTCAAATTGCTTTGGTAAGTACAGCTGACAGCTGAAGCAAGCTGAAGCAAGCGTCCAAGAGTCCAAGAGTCCAAGAGTGTGGAGACGTGTGAAGGATTGGTGTTGAAAACAACCGCAAGACGCTCTTCTTCTCCTGGTCACTGCCTGCTTTGGTGGCTGTCCTTCTGCTGCATTTGATTCAAACTGTGCTTTCATTTGTTTGATTATAGACTGTTGTGTTGTGAAGCCCTCAAGCTTTGTTACAAACGCGTCAGGCGTAGCGTTTTTTGCAATTCAGATGGGCTTGGCTAGCGAAGTCACAAACCGGGTTGGTTTTCTGGTGTGTAAAGTTACCTAGAAGTTACCTAGAGGTTCTTTATGTATCTTTATGATTCTTTATGTATCTTTATGTCTCCTCTTTTATTGCAAAAGCAAATGTCTTGAGGATCCAATGGCAAAGATTTCTCTTTGTGGAAATCAGCCCTCACAGTGTCTATTGGAAGGCAGGGAACAAAAAGGGGTGCAAAGAATTCGCGACTGAGGAAATGGAAAAAATCAAGCAGAAAACCATATAAGCAGAAAGACCTTCGCCACTTTTCGACTGTCCTAATAGCTATGCTTTTTGCTGCAACACGTTATCACGACTTTACACTTCCATGAAGGTTTGCCTTGCAGAGATTTGAATCGTCAGGCGTGCGTATTTCAGATGAACGCGTCACTCCTTGCATTACTGGGCCTGACAGCTGCACAGAATGGTCGGTGGATCTCGGTGATGCAGGCCCAAACTCCCGAATGTTTGAGCAGGGCTATCGTCAGTGATCAAAAAGAATCGACAAGAATCGGCTCACACGCCTAACCAATTTTGTGTGTTTGATTGTCGTCTGGACGGACTGTTTGACAATGTGTGCAAATTCTTGTATTGCACACCCAGCAGAAGTTCAAGTGAGCTCAAGTACGTTCGATGTTCCAGTAGGTTAAGAATGATCAAGAATATTCAAGATCATTCAAGTACTTTGGGCACCGTCCTACTCTGATAACGTGCTTGGTTTCGAGAGATTTGCTGATCACAAAGAGCTACAGTAGTCGAAGCAAATGCTTTGCACAAAAGCAGAATCAAAGCGACATCCCGATCTTTGTGACCGTTGAATCAATGAAACCATTCGAGATCATTCGGGATTGAATGGTTTTCGAAAGTCGAGACTCCTCCTGTCCTTTTGTAGCTTTCGGATGCTTTCGGTAGGGTCAAGGGATGCCCAGCCCAAGTCCAGAATCCGGACCTCCACTCGACCTCGACCTGATTCGTCAGAGATTGTCCCATCTCCGTCATTGTCCATCCATGTCCTGTGACGTCAGTACTATATTCAGTACATTTCAGTACTATCTATGTGTATCGCGAGGCGATGCATGCGGCCAACTTCGCTTGCATGTGGAGCCAGGAGCAGTTCGTCCAGCATCTTGGCACAGCCCACCACGGAGCTTCAGTATCCGCTACTTAGTACACTTTGCAGAGAGACATAGATTAGATGTGATTAGATCGTAGGGTAAGCCTGGGTGAAAAACAATATGGAATCCATTGGAATCCAAAGCCAAGAGCCTAAATCTAGAGTCCTCGAATTGGAAAATGAAACTTTAGGTATTTGACATATGACGACATATGCATATATTATATAAATGTGTATATATATATATACATATGTATACATACATACATACATGCATGCATACATGCATACATACATACATGCATGCATACATACATGCATGCATGCATGCATACATGCATACATGCATACATGCATACATGCATACCTACATACATACATACATGCATGCATGCATGCATGCATACATACATACATGCATGCATGCATGCATACATAAATACATACACACATACACATACATACATACATACATACATGCATGCATGCATGCATACATGCATACATACATACATACATGCATGCATGCATGCATGCATCCATGCATCCATGCATCCATGCATCCATGCATCCATCCATACATACATACATACATACATACACACATACACACATACACACATACATACATACATACATACATACATGCATGCATGCATGCATACATGCATGCATGCATGCATACATACATACATACATACACACATACACATACATACATACATACATACATACATACTTACTTAC